GTCCCTCCAAAGGATACGTTCCTGCCAGGCAATTTGCATCCGTATCCCAATGGGTCTCTGGACCCATCATCTTAAGGCTCACTGCATTCCTTCCTTCCCTTAAATCCCAATCATCCCCCACCCGCGCGCGTTCCCATCCGTTCATTTTCCTTCGCGCAATCCTCATCCGTACTGCCGTGTTGAGGAAATTCATCGTATGAACACGTGTAATGTGTATATTGCCCAATGGTCTGCGATACAATAATTTTTATCAAATTTTGAGATCGCATTTCTCTTGTCCCGAGACTTAAGGATCCACTCACTAAAGACGAACAAACTCAACGGCAATTCGATATCAGTATCGAATGCGACATTTCTCCTCTTAAAAAACTCTGTCGATCTTCCGTTGAGTTTGTTCGTCAAAGGTAGGTGAATTCTTTGGTCTCGTGACAACAGAAATGCGATCTCAAAATTCGATAAAAATGACAAGTAGCTGATAACATGGAACTGATCGGTGCGATACATCGCGTGTCGCTCCGACACAAAATATGGCGCTCATCGAATTATCTTAAGCCCATTTTAAATTGGAAACGAGAAATTGACGAGACATTGGCCTCGGGATTTTCCTTTGACATTCTCCCCTCCCCTTCCCTTTTTTTTCTCCATATGTGTCATTTAATGACAAATTGAACACAATGTATTATAGCGCACACGCAAGACTTGTCTTGCGTGTGCGCAAAACACTGTACTGTGGGGGTTTATAAACGTTGTGTCAAATGAAGTATACATTTTCATTTTTCCTTGAAAAAAAATGGTTTTGCTACGCTTGTCACGGTGATATTGGTGGATGTTTCCAACTTCACTCGTTAACATTCCGCGAATTAACACGTGATTTAATTAAACGAAATCGTCTGTAATTTGATGGAGCCTAATACGAATTCCCGGCGTTTCGACAGTCAGCAATTCCAGCAATCTCCAGGCTCACGCTTGTAAGTGTAATTACAGCCCCGAGTTGACTCATAATTGAATGGAACAAGCATAGATTGAGCGGGTCACTGCTTCTGTTTATCAAATTATAGGGTTGTGGTTCTCATAATTACTGTTGCTCGGTTTGTATTTCAAATAACGCGCTCTGGACATGTTCTTAAGTCCAGAATAAACTCACTTAACAACATGTTTCTTTATCGTCTGCTATTAACTTTACTCGTACTTAGAGGATCTTTGGGGGAAAATTGGAGGTTTTCTACAGATTCCATGTAAAAAAAACCTTTTAAAAATGATGCAATTTTAACTTCTTTTTTTTTGCGATGACAATACTGCTTCTACCCGCTTGCGAGAATGTGATGCACTGTAAATTTTACTTTGGGTACTCTAAGACACTTACATGAGCATGATGGTAACATTTATACCACTATACTATTGGTAAATGCTACCACGGATTTGATTATCCTCAACTACGTAGGTGGATCCAGACACTTCGAGCAAGGGAGGACAGTAGAGGCGTCAGGGGGGCTTCATCCATGTAAACTTCCGAAATTTTCAGCATCCTTTATGCATTTTGAGTCAATTACATCATGAACAGTCACCAATTATAAGCATTTTCCTCTTCATTCAGGGCCGGATTCACCTACTTGCCGCCCATGGGCCGCCCCCTTCTCATTCGTTTTGAAACTCAATAAAAACTAGGGTCCCTTTATACTGAGAGTCAAGACAATGTGAATCCATTTCTGATTGGTTCCCGTATTTTAGGCCTTCACAGTGTCACAAACGGGAATAAAGATTACATTTTCACCGATTGCAAATATTATAATCTGGAATGGACCAGGGAATTACGGGTTCGGCAAGGAACAAACGGAATGAGAGAAGGAACGGAGAAAGGAATTTAAGAATGGGCCGATCAAAGATTACAAAGAATGTTCAATTTCTGTAATCTTTATTCCCGTTTGTGACTCCATGAGGGGTGTTGTCTTGACTCTCAGTATAAAGGGACTCTAATAAAAACTATCAATAAGCGTGCAAGCAGGGGAGGGAGGGGTGCATAACACGCATTTACTCGTGTTGAACGCATTTTTTGGGAAAACCCTGTCTACACTACTAGCATAAGATCACAGAACTTTGCGCGAAAGTTAAGTTTCGTAAACCTATCTCCGTGTGGATAAGGCTTTCCATTCTTAAGAAATAAACGAAAGAATTATGACGGAACAAATATAAATGTGGTTCAATGATTTTAACTTCCGCCGCCGCGCCGCGCAGACCGCACCGTGTTTGGCGCAATGCGTGAAGTATTCCGACAGTCGTGTAGGCGCTATGCGTTTCACGCCGACCACTGAGCTGCTGAACGCACTGTGTTGGACGCAATGCGTGAAGTATTCACGCAGTCTTGCAGGCGCTTACGTCTCACGCTGACCGCACTGTGTTTGGCGCAATGCGTGAAGTATTCATGCATTCTTGTAGGCGCTATCAATTTTACGCTGACCGCAGTGACCGCACTGTGTTTGATGCAATGCGTGAAGTATTCGTGCAGTCTTAGAGGCCCTAATATGTGATACATGCCGATCGCCGCGCCGAGGGCTTCTCCTTTTCATCTCAAGTCCTCGTCATCATTTCCCTCTAAGTCGCGCCGTTCCGGGCCAAATTGCGTGTTTGGTTTCTCTCTTAACTCGACTAATTAAAGGTGCTGTCTCTTGTATCACTGAAAGACGACAAAATTAAAAATTACTACACTCTCAGGAAATGAGAGATTTTGTCGCCTTTTCTCGTTTGTAATTTTTTTTCTTCAAAATTCTGATTTTTTTATACCTACACTTAAAAAAATTGTAAATTTTTGCCGCCCCTTAAATTTGCCGCCATGGGCCGCGGCTCATGTGGCCACCCCCTTAATCCGGCCCTGTCTTCATTCATTCTTCTTCATTCTTCTTTCCTCCGTTCCTTCCCTTCACTTTTTCGGTCGAATCGGGGGGGGGGGGGGGGAGAAGTGTATGCCCCTTACGCCCCCCCCTGATCTGCCTACGGACCGAATGGTATCATCGTGAAAAATTAAGACAACTTATGGTAGACTCGATCTTATTTTTTTCAGTCTTCGGCATTATTTTAATGAGATAATTTTCAATTTTCATTTTTAAAAATTGTATTGATCAATGTCTTTTCAAGCATTATGTTTACAAAAATATCAACAACTGCGAAATGTTTGTTTTTAATATACCTTTTTGTTTTGCTTTTACTTGTATTAGGATTCGATTTATTCATCTCTGCAAAAATCAGGATTTAATCGTGTTTCAAGCATTCCATAAACTCGACGGCAAAAATTTAATAACGGAAAGAGTGCTTAACGAAAGGTATTCATGAAGCGGGACGGATAGAGGAAAAAATCAAAAGAGTCATGAAGGGGTTCTCAAGTTTTTTCCATTTACCCTTGGTGTTCCCCAAGAGGATTGCATGCTTGTCTATCAGACGCGCTAAAACTTGAGTACACTCTTAATTCAGGGCGTGATTAAAGTACATGTCAAAGAGTATTCTATAAATGTAAAATGCACGCAATATGACATGCAGTTTTTCAGACGACTTAACGAATCATTGGTAAACGAACATTGTTGTCAATGTCCGGTTAAAAGTAAGATTTCTCCTGGAAAAATGAGTTAAAGTCCCGTCATGATAAATTTCAAGGCGCAACTCTCGAATCAGGGTCCGGTAAGGTTTCCATCTTCACTGGACCGTATCTTATCTTTCTAAGATTCTTTAACTTCGCAATGGTTATACACACATAAGTCATCTCAGTGAATTCCAAAGTATACCTCATGGTGTAAGACAAAGAAGCATCAAATTTTAATAAATATTAATTGGGTGACGTTGAAAATTAAAAATTGGTTTTACAAAACGCACATAACAAGGCGCCTCACCTTTAATACTTTCTCCTCTTGCACTTTTCCAACCTTTCATTAGCTGTACACACAGGGTCATGCAACTTTTTGCATTTTATGTTTCAAATGAGCCAAAAACTGAATTTTCAGACGGTCATTCGTGATACGTTTTCAGAATAAAACGTCTCTCTACTGAGAAACTTCAGATTTGGCTTTAAAAAAAATTCGTTTTCTTTGCAGCATGTCATTATATCGTGCTGATTCTTGGTGGTGAATTGGACTTCATTTTGCAATTTGGAACTAAAAATTCTGGCTCTTCTGGAAAAACACTTATGTGCCTAGGGAAACTACTGACGCATACGTTGTTTTTGAACCGGGCTAGAATTTATAGTTCCAAATTGCAAAATGTAGTCCAATTATGAATCGAGCAGGCTACATCTATTTGTGCCAGCAAAAAATTGCTGACCATGATGAAATTTTTAGATTCTGTCATTTTAGCTGTGTTTTTTCCCACGTTCTCTCTCTCCCTCTCTCTCTCTCTCCCTCTCTCCCTCTCCCCTTCCCTCTTTTTTACTTTTTTTTTTTTTAATTTTGGTGACGAGGTAAAATTTTCCTCATGATAGTAGTTTATCCGTTTGAGTGCTCTCAATCAACGGCCGGCCTCTAAAGTGACGTGAAAGAAATGGACCGTGCTAAGCAGAGAGGAATCAAGCCCCATCACCTATTGCCAAATTTAATCAGGCAATTTAATTTTTACATGAAAAACTTTGTTCGGATTTTTGTGCAAATTTCAGTGAATTTTCTGCATACTACGAAGGAAGCTCCTGAAAATTTTCAAAGGAATCCGTACAAACATTCTCTTGTAAAAAATTAAATTGCCCCGTTAATTTTGGCAAAAGCTGATGTGGCTTGGTTCCTTTCTGTTCAGCACGGTCCATGTCACCCATGTCAGTTTGGAGGCCGGCCGTTGATTGAGAGCACTCAGACGGATAAACTACTGTCATGAGGAAAATTTTACTTCATCACCAAAATAAAAAAAAAGAGGGAGTACGTGGAAAAAAAACGCAGCTAAAACGACTTCATTAGTCTAAAAATTTCATCACGGTCAGTAATTTTTCGCTAGCACAAATGGATGTAGTCGGTCCAAAAATCAAGAACAAGCGTCGGATGTGATCAAACTTGACAACTCCGGGAATAATCCACTGATTTTTTTTGGCCCGCGATTTTCCTTTTACCCTAACCTTTTTATAACAACCCGTTTTAAATTTCATTTGCGACGACGGAGTCAAAACGGTTTCGTCTTCGTGTGGAGACCCTAGTCTCGTGTCCCCCAGAAACTCGCGACATGGGGTACGAAGAAGTGGATGTGTCGCGCATCATTTTCCGGGCGGTCCTAGTGGCCTCTCTTGCGGCCGGCATCGTGACCAGCAGTTCTTTGGGATATACCACGAGTGACGTGGACTATGGAGGTGATAGCATTAATCGCAGGGACGTGACCGGCAAGTTTGGCACCGAAGTGAAAGGGATAAATGAACGGGAGGACAAGGACGGAATTCTGGCTAAAATCGTTGTTCAGGTACCTCTTGATAGCGCGAATGTCACTTCACCTTCAAAAATTGAGGTGCGGTCTTCTGAAGATATTGTTCAGGTACCTCTTGACAGCAAAAAAGTCACTTTGCCTTCAAGAATTTTTGAGGTGAGGTCTTCTGAAGACAAAATCGAAGGAGAATCTTCATCAGAGGATCAACTTTTTGCAGAGGAAAAAAAAGGTTCCTACAATCTCATGTTACCACGAAGTCTATATGCCAGCGGTAAGGGAAGCAATTATTCTCTTTCGTTTTTTCCTTAATTTTCATTATATTTTATGTAATTTTAGTTTCGTAGAAGAAGAAAAATGTTTCGATTATCACACCGTACCACAAGGCCTGTATACCAGCAGTGAGAGAGGCGGTTATTTTCCTTCTTTTTTGTAAATTTTCACTATATATTATGCACTTCCTATTTAATTTGCGAAATTTGTTTTCCGCTTCTTTTCTGCATCACCTGGGAGTGTAAGATATAGGCATATCAGCATGATCGCCCGAATCAGGTTTAAATCAGACATTGCCTTATTTTCTCTCATGTTTTACTTTTTTAATAGATCACCGAGCAACGTTCTGAATTAAAAATGTGACATTGTCAAAATTTTCCTCACTCAATTTTTGTCCTGGACGACGTTTCGGAGAGTCCGGGACAAAAATTAAGTTAGTAAAGTAGTTAGTTTTTTTAAATCTTAGCGATTGTATTCTTAATTAAAGTCCAATCTCGGTTCATTGATGAGCCTCGTCTGCTGAAAATTCTACATACATTCATTGACAATTTAATCTATCTTTGCCCTTAGCCGAAGAAGAAAGTGAAGAACCGTATCCAAGTTATTCTCAGGATTATCGAGGAGGAGATATGTACCGAGAGGATTCTCGAGGAAGAGACATGTATGGAGAGGATTCTCGAGGAAATCAGCCTGGACCCTTAAAATACAGCGAGCAATTGGACAACGGTTATGCTTCTAGAAGTTGGCCAAGTAAGTTTTACTTTTCCCAAGCAAAACAAATTTAATTAATCTCCAAAAAATTGTATCTTTTCTATCCTAGCTACGGCGGTTCTGAATTTCAAATTTTGAAATCAAGCCCTTAATGTGTATAATATTCCAACAGTAGGGAAGAAACACTAAGGCAGTCATTGTAGCCTACTAATATGGGCCTGTGGAACAATGCATGTTCATTTTTGAGAGAATCTGCATGCGATTAATTTACAAGGGAATGGTGATACTTTATACAGTATTTCTTTTTCAAACATTTTGAACATCGTGATGCAACATGAGTGGATTGGTGCGGTGTGTCCGCCGATACTACAACAGATCGGAACGCGTAGTGAGACATATTCACATCGAAAAAAAAATACTACATGTATAAGTTAAAATATATGCTCTCATGAGACTTTGAATAAAGCAAACCCAAGTTATTTTGAATACAAATGCGATTAATTTTAGTGAAATGTAGCAAAATATGAAGGGAAAATTGTGTTTGGAACGAAGGAAGAGTGAGCATCAAAAAGAGCACATTGCGCCATAAATGTCACGGAATTAGCAGGTAGGATTGTCTTGTCATCCCTAAATGTCGATGAATCGTAGATGGCAAAGAAAGTTCTTGGTTGAATACTTCTTTAGAAACCCCGTTTTAGAAGACTCATCTCTAGATCTTGGATACATTTTATTGCAAGAATGAGATGGTTCGAGCTGGTGCGGAAGAACTATGGTGGCATTGGAGTTGAAGGGAGGGGGGGAGCTCCGTGGTGGCCCATATGAATTGCCGGAAAGTTTTCCGGCGTTATTGTCACCTCGAAAAAAGATTCATTTCGAATGTCCTTAGCGTGCAAATCATGGTCTGAAATTTTAACCAGATTTTCTTGAAAGTATTAGTAAGCGTTTAGCAATAATGTCTGAAGATTGATATTTTTGACCTCAAATCCCTTTTCCCCGATGTATTGAGCTTCTTTCTTAGTCGGACACATGTTACCCGACGTGATTTTGAGGACCACAAAATGAATTGACGAGCGACCTAAAGATTTCGATTTCTCAATCCTTATTTCGTTTAATGGTATGCAACAGCAATATAACTGTTCTTACAGGCTATCCTCCTGATGAGCACTTTGACGATGCTGAAGAAGAAGTAGAACACACAGAAAGTTACAATGAGCCTGAGTCCGTGCGCAATAATAGTAAGTAAAAGCAATCCTCTCCTACTTTCTTACTGTTTTGACGAGGGACACAGTCCAGCTTGTCCAGCCTCTACTGTAATGATCTTCCAGGGATGAAAAGCAGTTCCATCTTTGTCTCTCAGGCGGTCGTCCAGCAGGCCGATTATTGAAATTGATACACAAAGCTATAGTTAAAGAAGACGAAAAAGAAATGGAGGAATCCTGTCGGTGGAAGGGGATGGTTGCAATTAATGGACAAGGGCGGAAGGTGATAGACTAATTGGACCAAGTTTATCAGTGAGGTACCAACCCACATTGAGTTGAAACTGAGAAATGGAGGTTTGAGGTTTTATTCCTCCACGAGACTCAATCTAGAAAATAAAATGTATCCCCTCTTTTCATAAACCAATTTTTATTTTTCGATTTTGAGTTTTTGGCAGAAGAAAATATACGACTAATGGAACTCAAAAACATTCTTAACTCAATTTTTTCAAAAATATGGGTTGGTTCCTTTCTGATAAACTCGGTCCAGTTAACGGTAACCCCACGAGAGACCCTATAGTTAGTTAATCATTTCCTCCCTCAGTCTATACGAACCACCCATTTCAACCAACAGGATCTCTCCTCACTTCCTAAGTCTTCGTTGTCAATTGCTTTGTCTATCAATTTCAATAATCAACCCGCAGGTTGCTTGGGGTCTTGAATTCTTCAACTCATATAGAAATTTTAGCTGGCCTTTCCTATCCATCCTCTCAATGGGTTCCGATCACATTTTTTCTATGCACATCGAGGTCTATTCAGCTGTATTTTAGACTTAGCATATAAGTGCTTTTGGCAAACAAACCCGTTGGTTTGCTGTCCGCAAACATAACGCGTGCTATTTTTCCTAGGAATTCCATTTCTATACGCTCCAGATTGCTGTTTTGTACGCTTTGACGTGCGTTTTACACGATTCTCTATTTTATCAGATAAAAACTTAATTAGGTGAAGCCTCATTAGCGCTGATATTGTAAAGCACGAGGTTTCCTGCAAGCAAGTGCATATTCAACTTTCGTGCATTAAGCCCATACATCCAAGTAGCCAGAAATACCGTGTGACCGGTGAGCAAGTACTTTACTGCTTTTCAGCTTTATTTAGGCTCTCATGCTCATGATAGGTATGGTAAAAAAAATGAAAATATATAATAATTACTTCGATAGTTTTACTTGATGTGTGAAGTATGAAGTCCTCGCGATAGTCCTTACTAGCGCCATCTCTTTTTTTCAGGAAAAGCCACATTGATTCAAAGAGAGGATAATTAAAATAAATTCCGTTTTTGCACATAAAATACAGCCGAAAGAGGAATGTATTTTATTTTACATCTTAAAAATAATCCACGGAACATTGACTGAATTGCTCAATTTCTCCTGATCATCTCTGCTAATTATGGCGGGTATCTGGAGAATACGAATCAACAAAAGCTCAACTTGATACATGAAATAAATTTTGAAAACTCACTTCTTTCCTTTTCAATTTTGTTAGCTTATCTTCAGCTTGGGAACTGAACAATGAACATGGACTCCGAAGTAGTTCGAAAAGCGTCTTAAGCTATACAAAATTGAGAGGTGAAGCGAGTTTTTTTAAATTTTATTTTGCACTTCGTCGTAATCTTTTCCTGATTTCAAAAAGTCCCGAAGAAATCGTACATGAGGAATGAATTTTTTGAACTATTCTCACAGGAGCATACGCCGGCGACAGATATGGCCCTCCTAGGCATGCTGACTATGATGAGGGGAGCATACTTTGACAATTCGTACAGTTCCTCAAGCAGCCCTAACGGTACGTATAAATGGACGATTTTCATTGAGTACAACGAATTATTGCTTAAAGTATTTTTCATTTGCGCCCGCATTAAAATTCGTGTTGCATAGGCTAAGTTTTACGGGGCAATATTCCCCAGGGCTTTGCAACGATGGCTTTGGACCTCTAAAAGTAGGCACTCTCGGTGGGGGAAGAAGTCCGAGACCCCCTCGACCCCCGAAATAGAGGGCTGACGTGTAAGATACCGTGGCAAATTTTTCAAATTTACATACATATGAGTCGCTTTTATAGTGCTCTCTGGCGCTCTGCGACGCCTAATCGCCACAATCCCCGGTCCTCCCACAATTCATCAAGAAGTTGACGCTCCCTCATCTCATTTAAAACCCCTTTTTAAATCTATCTTCAAAAAAATATGATTCTAAACATTTTTGAGGTATTGCGAAAGTATTGACACCGGGAAAAACTGTACTTGGAAAATAAAGAGGAAAGTCGCGAAGAATATATAGGCAAGTTAGCGGTTTGGGATCTGCAACAGGTGGTTGCCGCCGTGGCTTAAAGATATATTCTCTCGGTTCCAACTGTAGGAGTCATTGAAATTACTCTACTCATAGAATAGTGTTTAGAGCTTTATTCTGACAAGTTCGCCTCAAAAACTTAATTCAACCAGGTTTATATAACTGAATCATCAACCTATTTGGACCTAATTATGCTGAAAGTTCTCGTTAGTTGAGGGTCGTAAGAATGAGTGGGAATCATAGAACACTAGTGACGTCAGCGTCGACGGCCGGGGATAACGGTCGCGGGGGACTTTAACTCATGAGCCCTGTCGTCAACGCTCTTGCCGCGTGCCCACGGCTCATGAGTTTGCATATTGCGGCGCTTAGTTCTTTTCGATTCAATGCAAATTCCTACTTTTTCATTTTGACAAAATGAATCGCGCCCACTTTCACACCGTTTCTTATGCAGCTTTTACGAGCACACCCCATCTCTCTCACCCGTCTTTTGTTCTTCACTGGAAAAAAAGAACACATTTGATCTAGAGTCCAGACTGTTGAAAACATTGACAAGAAAAAGGACTCTTGATTCAATCAGATTTAAGCTTAAATCAAAAGGAAATTCGCTCAAATTGAAAGGCTTGGTTCTTGATTTAAGCTTAAATCTGATTGAATCAAGAGTCCTTATTCTTGTAAATGTTTTCAGGAGTCTGGATTCTAGATCCAATGTGTTTTTTTTCCAGTGTTTTTTTAGCATATATTCGTCCTTTTTGCAGAATCATACGGCAGGATTGAGCGTACTTACGATGAATTTGGTTCGCATTATGATAATGATAACTACGGCGCGAGGAGGAATCCCTGGGGCGGTTGGAGTGGCCCACCTGGACTCACGCGCTTCTCCAGGACAATCAGCCAAAGACCGAATCAACCAAAGCGCATCATGCATGTTCAGACCTGGGGAACATACCGGGGAACTTCTAATCCATTTGGACCTAATCGAGGGATTTCCAACAATTGGAGCAGGGGCAACTCAATGCCTCCGTCGCGCGGTAAAATGTTAATTCCTATTCCCCAAGTAGGATTTCGACGGAAAAATCGCGATAAATTGAAACTAAGCTGCCATATTTTCACGATTTTCTGGAGATAAAATCGCTAGGATTATCCGCAACTGAGCGATTGTCTTCAATCTTGTCGCAATTTATGTATATAAAATTGCGTTCGACAAAATCTAAATTGTATCTCAATTTATCACGATTTTATGTATGATAAAATTGCTATATTTCGCCGTCGATAAAATCGCGATTTTATCGCAAAATGCTATGGAATCACGATTAATTGCGATTTTTTATCCGAAAATATTGCAATAAATCGACGTCGAGATAATCGCGATACATTCTCCGATCAAATCGCAACTTATCGCGATCATTGCTACTTGGGGCGTTGGTCAACGAGCCAAATTATTTCACGAGAAAAAAACACCAAATACTGTCATTCCCCGGACGAAGGAATATATCTTCATCACAAGGATGCGAAATTGGTCTGCATTTCAAAATCATGAGTTGAATAACGCTGACTCCGCCAGATTAAATATTAGAGCCTACCACAAAGCGGAGCGGCGACGCACTGGCGCCTACAAACCTAACAGGGATACTTCACGCATTGCGCAATGCGTGAAGTATCCCTGTTAGGTTTGTGGGCGCTAATGCGCGTTTCGCGCTCTCTGCCCGCCCGCCGCCCGTCTGAAGCAACTATTTCACACCAGAGGAATTGCACAGTATCATACGAAACTGAAGGCGCTCTAATATATTAATAATGGCAGGCATCCATCAAAAGTACGGAGATTTCCTCGCAAAATAAATCAAGATACTACGGCCCAAAAAGAGAGCAGT